AGAAAGTTAGCAAATTCCTGTAAGAACTCAGAACAGGGCCCTGTAACTATGAGTCAACGGGAGTGGGAATGACTATGAAACTTCTTGGTAACAGGACATTAAGTAGCTCATAGCTTAGAGGGACTTTTAAAGTTCTCACAAAGTGCTTGCAAGAGTACATCATCTTTGCTGTGATGGTTGTTACATGTCCACCCTGGATTAGCTGTTTTGCGTGCTCCTGGTTGTAGTTACTGATGCAGACACATAAGTTTTGTACTCTTTTGCTCATGCAGTTTTTGTGTGTGTCTGTGCTAGCTTTGTCTTGCCATATGGAGATTTGTCCGGTCCATGTCAGCTTGTGTTTTCATGCCTCAAATTGTTAATCACGCTAGCTTTATTGCCTTGCTCTCTCTCTCTCTCTCTCTCTCTCTCAAACGCTGCTGTGTTTTCTTGGGGTTCTGGACAGGTTAGATGGGCGCGCTCATACATTTTTACACCATGTAGTAGCCCAATGTATAGACACCTTAGGTAAGGGGCAGGTGCCAACCCTTGTGTTTATGTTTTGATATAGGAAAGATCAGTGTAAATAGGTATTTTGTTTTGCTGGTAGGTGAGAACTTAAAGAGCTAGGGTAATGTTTTTTTTTTCTTTCTGTTTGTTTTGATTATTTCTTTCCTTTAGCCCCGTCCAGGTCCAGAATCTCGTTCTCTTTAACAGCTAGCATATTTGCCATTTTGTAAATATTGTAAATAGTCATGTTTTGGAGGTCTCACTATGGTCCTAGCATGAGTGTACTTTACCCCTAGCATGCAATAAATTAAAAAAAGCAGAATCCCACTCGTGTCCTGTTCCTTCCTGGTTCGTGCTGCAAACATCACATTTTAAACCATTTGTTACTGACCCCAATATCCTCTAGGCTTTCCTGTGGGGTCGTAACATGGTTCAGATCAATAGTCAACAGTTTAGTTTCCTAAAAAAATGTTTCTTCAGAAAGAATCTAGAAGTTTGTATCAAATTCTGCACAGACAAATTGCCTACAATGACTGATTATGTTCATATCTTTTATACATAGCAGAGACTGCTTGGTGTTAATTCCTGACTACTAGGAAACCACTCAGTATCTTATGGTATGTTAGCAGTAGTTACCTTAAGCCAGCCAGCAGTGGGCAACATATCCTTATTATCTCCATATAAGGATCTAGGTCTCAAATCCCTCATTCAATTCATTTCTACTCTAAGTTACACTTCACAAGCATGAAAGGATAGAGTCCAGGATTTTGTGAAGTCACAGGGCTAAACTGAATTGTTGAGTTTTTGGTTTGTGCTGCCCTAGTGGCTGTACAGATGTACATGTGAATGTGAACCCACTTGGCTGCTTCCCACACCTTCTTCCCCTGGCTATCACAGATAAAACACACCCCTACTATGACTGAGGATGCTGACTGAGATAAGCTGTGTCAAGGGTGAACTTCTGATTAATAAGTGCAACTGGACAAGATTTATGAGAATAGAATAAAACTAAAAGATGTGCATAAAGGCAGATTCAATAACTCAAACACTACCTTCAATGTAATGCAGCAGCACTCTCATTTACTCAGTGTACCTGCCAACAGTTAACCATCTGCCATTTAATAACACATTAAAACTGCTCACTTTTACTTTAAATGTAAACAATGGCCATGTTACAGAATAGAATACAATCCAAATACTTCAATAGGCCTCTGACATGTTATGGAGGAAAAATGTAGTTTTGCACATTCAGTAATGGCAGATGAAAGAGAGAGAGGAGAAACTGTTGCCACTGGTTATGTCACCGCTCCAAAGCAGCATAAGATTTCCCTTCACTGGAAGAAAGAGGCCTAGGCACATATTTTTGTGTGTTGCAACTAGGAATAATGGTATGAAGGAACTGTTATGGTATCAATGAACTGCATGAAAGTATGTGAGGCCTAGTGTGTGCCCTACTGAAGGGCAGTTTGCCCTGACTCAGGTTTAACTGGATCTGGTAATGGTTCTTATCTTCAGACTGTTGTATCAGCTTCCTTTTGCCTTGCTGGAATTCATTCTGTCTCTGTTCTACTCCTCTGTCTTTTCTGTAGGTGGGATCTTCATCCTGAGCTGGATTTCCCTGGCCCATGGTAGGTATTTCATGATAGGTATCCTTCCCTCTCAATTCCTGTCTAACAGGTATTCTGAACCAGTAACCTCCTGAGCGTTGTTCCTCCTCTGAATCAGTTACATCACTGGTGAGAATTTGTTCTCTTGGGTTCCTACTGATTAAACTGAGTCTCTGTCTGGGTGGCATGTTATGGTTTGCCAGGACCTGGGGGTATGAGAATAGGTAGGTTATTAACTAGCAGCAACAAATTGTGATGCAGGCTACTGGTTCTTTGTCGATGACCTGTCTCTAGGGCAACCACATAAACTCAATTTTCTGCTACTTGTTCTTTTTTTCATACATATATTGTTCATTCCCAGTATGATCTTAGTTTACCAAGACCTCCATGCTCACCAGGGTGTCAAAAACCTTGCCCCCAGGCTGCAGAACTACCCCGTTGTCTTCCAGTAATAATAGGATTTGCCTCTGGCACTAGATTGTTTACTGTTTTCCTCAGCAATCTTGTACGCATCAGTCGTCATCCGAGACCACTGTGAACTAGGTGAACTAGAGGTGAGGCTGCCCAGTGGAGCACGAATGTGGGTGACTTTTTTTTGTGTGATACATGGGTGGGTGTTCTTGGAAGACATGTCAAGAGCAGCAATCCATGCACATCCTTTTGCTCAGTAGCTCTACTCCCTTGCTAGATTGCATGCAACACACGTGGAGACAATTCCTCAGTGCATTCCTGCATGTATCTGTCAATGTCAAGAGGGATGCATGACAATGTGTCTGCATGAATGTTTGCCTTCCCAGGTCTGTATCAAGAAACAATATCACCTATGTCACCCTCAGCTCCCCACCCTGATGCTGGTACAGGACAGCCCCAAGACCCTCCTCTGATGTGTAAATATGTGGTATGAAGGGTAAGCTGAAGTCAGGACAAGCCAACACTGGAGGTGTCACCAGCATGCCAAGAAGTCATTCTAGTGCTACCTTGTGCTCGCTTGTCCACTCTACAGGGGTATTAGAGGCAAATTGTGGGCCTTTGGTCTTCTTCATGGCTGGCTGGATTTGTGATACCCCAGCCTTACCTTGAGGCAGCTGGTAGAGGGGTCTGGTTATCTTTGAAAAGTTCTGTATATAGGATCAGTAATAGCTAAGAACCCCCCCCAAGTCTCCTTACATCAGCAACAGACTGTGGCATTTTGTTCTTTAGGCACAGCTCGGCATCCAAATTCTTGGGGTTTATCCTCACCCCATCAGCAGATACCAGGCAACCCACATACCTGACCTCTCGCAGGAAGATATTACACTTTTCTGGTGTAAGCTTTACTCCATGGAGCTGGACCGCCTTGAAGACTTTTCAGACCCCTTCCACATGCCCATCAAGGGACTTGACATATTAAAGGATCAGCACTTATTTCTGAGGGTATCTAACTTCCCCTTCATACTCCGCTGGAACACTGCTAGCATGTTCGATAGCCTGAATGGGATTCAGACCCATTCGTAAAGACCCCAGGGCGTGATGGAAACAATGTAGTGTCTGGAGCTCTCAGCACTGAAGCCCTGATGATATACCTTTACTTAATCCAAAATACTGAACCATGTGTAGCCACCAAGTGCATTAATGACATCCCCAATTTGAGGCAGTGGGTGCCTGTCTGGGATTATCTTCTGGTTGAGAAGTTGATAGTCAACACAGAGGCGAAGTGTTCAGTCCTTCTTATGGACATAGACGATGGGAGCTGAGTATAGACTTGGATGTAACTATCCACTCCTTTGCCAAAAGATCCTGGATATACTCCTTAACTTTCTTTGAGCAATGGTTTTGGCACTGATGAATATGCCCATTGTTCTGGTATGCACAAAATTCAGTTCTGGCTTCAGTACTGGTGATTGAAACAGCACCAATAGCATAGCATTAGGTTGACTAATGCTCTGGCTGGCCTTAAATTAGTTCTTCTAGCACATTGAACCCCAACAATGGCCTGTCAAGTGGTAGGTGACTCACTAAGAAAGAAATATTAATAGACAATCTAGGTTCTTTTGTACCAGGAAGGTTGACAGTAATAGCCACCCACACTTCAAATGGGATAGTGTCAATATTTACAGTCGGGTGTCGTAACTGGGTATATGTCACTCCAATTCCAGTTAATGATGCTTACCTGGGCGCCTGTGTCAAGCAAGGCTGCTACTGACTGTGACGAACAAGTCACTATTATGTGCCTTGTTTGACACATTTTGAACACCCTGATTTGCCCTGTTTCAGCTGCCACATTGACTCAAAAATGCTGGTGAGAGCATCTATTTTGGCTGTTTTTTTTTAAGGGTGTCCTTTCTACTTTTACTCTCATGGCTATCTTGATAGGGGGTGCAGTGTGGTGGAGTGTTCTACTCAAGCTGGGCACTGTGTGCCACAGTCTGTTTAGAATGGGACAACTGTCCTTCTCCACAGTTCGTTCCCCTCTCTCTCCCACCTCCTCACTGGAAGGCATAGAATTCTCATTAGCCATTAGCTGGCTAAAGAGGTGCTAAAGAGGTGAACATGACTATGATCACCAGACCCTTGACAGTGAAAACTGCAATGAATGATAGACCGTTGGAGCTGTTTCAAGACTTGAGGCCTTTGGACTGTGGAACTGCAGGACGCTGCTGGCTGGGAAAGGAAGCCTTGAAAACAGTGTGCCAGAAAGTGGAAGCAGAGTAAAGGTTTGGACAGCTGTGGTAGGCTAAAAGCTTACCCTACCCACCTGGTCAGCTTGGGACCATGTTTTCTAAGGTGCCCAAATACCAGGTCCAACCCTTCATGTGACTTTGAAAGATGTAGAACATGAGAATATCATCCAAATAAACTAACAACATGTGAAACATCAGATCTCTGAGGACCCCCTCCATTAAGCGCTGAAATATTGCCAGGGAATTACAGAGCCCTGGTCTTCTCCTGGTCTTGCTCATCAGCTGCCACTTGGAAGTACCTGGCAGTTAGGTCCAGTGAAGAGAAGAGATCTAAAGCATCTAGTGTCTCCTCCACCCTAGGAAGTGTGTTGGTGTCTTTCTGGGTCACACTCTTCAAGCTTCTAAAATCACAGCAAAAGTACACTGACATATCCTTCATCACAATCACTGCTGGTGACACACATGGACTGCAGCTCTTCTCCAGAACACCTTGTGTGACCAGGTCATGCACACATTGCTTGAATTACTGGAACGCTTCAATGATGCTGCTTGATAAGGTGTGCAGTTAATACACAGTGTGCCACTGTGGTGGTGTACCTGTAGTCACTGCCATAAAAATTCAGCACAGTGAGTCTCGAGAAGGTGGTTCAGCCTATGTATCTGTGTTGGAGTGAATCAGTGAAGGTCAACTTGCACCGAAACAGACAATGGCCAGTGCCCTTTGATCCAGATATGGTCTCCTGCTCTAGTGTCCTGAGGCAGCTCCTCAGCTGCCTCTTCAAATTCCACCAACTTTTTAGGCAGTACCTTCAGTGGCTTGCCCTGCACAGCAGAACAGGCTCTTTGCTCAACTTAAGCAGTCTCACTGGTACCTTTCTAAGCATGTCAGAACACTGGCTACCAGTAGTCTGGTAACTGAAGCTAGCGACTGGTGACGCCTAAATCAGCACTTGGCATCCTTCACCATCTTAGTTAGGACACAATGTAGGCTTGTGCTTGCAGTGTGAAGTTTAAGTTGATCCATCATATAGACCCCATTCATGCCTGCAAAGAGGCCATGAAGCCTATCAAGGACATTCTTCCCTAACATGCCAGGGACATTTCTAAACAATATTATTGTATTTCAATACTATTTTTTTTGTGGCAATTATACATGATTTTTTATATAAAGAAAGCTGCAATTGTGCTGGCCATTTTAGCACAGTCTTTCATTGGGGAGGGGTATAACTTGTGTCTACTCTTCAATATTACTATTTATTACATATTCTATTTATTCAGGAGACTTGCTTTCAGATTTTCAAAGAAATCTGCAAGGGTATTTTTCCATTTATCTTATGACTGTACTTAATGGCTGAGGTGGCTGGAAACTAAATAAATGGTGGTCTTTTCTACTTATATTTTTTAACAGTACTGTACATCATGCAATACCCTCTGGAAAATGTTTGAAAAATGAGTTGTACATAATGGCTGTATTGACTGGAAATTAAATAAAATTAAATAGTAGGCGTTGACTTTTGCACAGTACTGTATATATAAGATATTCATCATTCATTTTATTTTAATTTATAAACATAAAAACAAAGTGTATTTTTTGTTTTTGGGTTTGTCATTATATAATTTACTTTTACCGCCATTATATAATTTACTGCACACTGAAATGTGTTAAGAATAAAACTTACTGCTCACTCAAGTGTGCTAAGAATAAAACAGTACCCATCTATAAGAGAGTGAATTCACATTTAGTATTTCATTTGTGTCTTTGTTTATAGTACGGCCGGCTCTAGTATTTTGGGGACTCTAAGCAGGATTTTTTGGGAGGGAGCACTCCCCTAAACATCCCTTTGGGGGTGTAGACACTCCCCTAAATCTACACCTTGTAAAAAGTGTGAAAATAAAAGCAGAGAGAATATTTGTTTCCTCTAAAGCCTCAAGCTAATGTTTTGAATGTTAGCAACTAATTTGATGTGTCCTATTTGTATTTTAATTGTCTGTTGGACTGAACACTGCCATGGCATGTTTATTTATTTTCAGTCTAATTTTGTTTATGTTTAAGGAAAAGATTTGCTAAGTAATTGTGTGTATACGAGCAGGTCCAAACATTTATACATATGAATCTTATAAATAGTCTTAAATAAACATTCCTAATTTAGCAATCCTAACTTTGTTTACATAAAATTAGCGGACCAATTAGCTTGCCAGCTGATGTACTGTGAAATTAGAAGCTTACTAGTAAAAACAACTTGGTGCAAATAATGTTAAAAGTAATGTTAACATAAGGTAATTACCTAGAAGTTGTTAGGGTTTTAATTTACGGATTTAAACACATAGTAATACTGTTTCTTGATTTTTTTTTTTTAACTTTGTTATCAGTGAAGATACTAATGCAAGTGAACACTAACATTGCTCAAACATATGATCATGTCATCTATAACAATAATTGTATAATTACATGTTCACAAACTATAATAATAATAATAATAATAATAATAAATGATTACTATTAATAAAATAGTTTGTTAATCTATTATTTTTCTTAATTAATGTTGCTTAAAAGAATACAGCTCAACAAACTAAAGAAATAATATGACCAAAGCACACAAAAATCAGTGAGAGGAAAGCACCACTAGTGAGTTACTCAACACGTAGTATAAAGTGGAAAACATTAACACTGATATAAACATAAGGGAGACATAACACACAGCAAAATATATATATGTATTTTTTTCATTAATTTGACCACATACTATACCATATGCTATATATTTGCAGGGCAATCTGCCATTCACAGAATCTAAACATAAGGAAACAATTAACAGATATTTTTGTAGAATTATGGTAAGTGTTTTTTAAACATGTGGCTACTGAACAGGTTTGAATAACTGCAGCCTACATCACTAAATTAATGTGGTAAGACTTTCACATGGTTAAAGAATTTTAAAAACTGCTGCCTTATTTCTTTTGTTCTTATTCCATAAATAACTGGATTGAAACAACTTGGAAAAAGTACATACATTGTACTAATGAAAATACGGCTGTTTGGAGAAAAATCATTTCTAATTCTATATGACAAAAAAGCCATCAAGGTAAATACTAAACTAAATGTGATGACGATTATATGTGTAATACAAGTGTTGATGGCCTTCATGCTGGACTTGCCTGATTTCATTACAGAAGCAAATATCATCACATAAGATATAGTAATAAAAACAAAATCTGTAGTTGGTATTAGAAGAGCAGTTGCAAGTCCAACTAAATTATTAATAGAAGTATCTCCACATGCTAGCTGGACCAATCCCATGTGTTCACAAAAACAGTGATCTATCTCATTCTTCGTACAAAAATGCAACTTTCCAGCCAAAGAAACCACTGAAACGTTTAAGAGTGTATTTCTAATTACTGGAAGAATAATGAACTGTAGAAAGTTGGACATTTGCATATAATTATGATAAGAAAGAGGTCTGCATATAGCAAAGAACCGATCCAGAGCCATCCACAGCAGCAAAGTAGACCGATATGAACCGACATACTGAACACAGAATATTTGTATTAAACAGCCAACAAGTGAAATCACATTCCAGTCAAATAAAAAGCTGAGAAGCATATTTGGTACAAAAAATATTGGCATAAACAAGTCTACGACAGCCATTAGACCAATTAAAACAAACATCGGAGAGTGCAGAGCTCTCTGGGTGATAATTAAAAATATCAAGATGGAGTTGGAGGTGGTAGACAATAAAAGCATAAAGAAATATGGGAGGAATAGAAAGCGCCGCCATTCTCCCAAAGAATAGAAGCCATTCAGTTTGAAAATTGCAAATGAAATATTTTCTGCAGGAAGATCTTGCATGATTCTCATCACCATGGTACAGTCAGCATTTATGTTTTAAAAACCATGCTCACTACAGGTAACTACAACAGCAAGATTTCTTTTACTGCTGCCAACAATTGCAGATGATGGATTTGATTCACTCGGTTTTTTGGTGCAACAGCTACTATAATGCTAGCCAAATGGCAATGACAGTATCACCTGTCATTACATAACTTTTGCATTATTCTCTTTTATATGAAACAATCTATTTTTTATATCTAGATTAAAGTGAGGATATTAGAATTTGAAAATGTTAGAAAAACACTGTAAACTGCAAAATCTTGCAGTTCAAGCAATAACATTCATTTTTATACAAGAATATTTATGTACTACGGTCTGTGCAAATGCACTAAAAAAATATAATCTTCTTTCAGAAATGCTAAAGAATTTAAATATTGCTGTTTGGGCAGTCACGTATCACATATTCTATTTTGCTCCCCAACAGCTGATTAAAACTTGACATTTGTCTCTACTTCTATATAAAGCCAATTGTTCTCATGGGGCTATGCTGTATTCCTACAGGCTTCTGAGCTGGCCTTAATCTCTAATGCCTCTGCACCTCCCATTTATACACATGCTGTACTTTGTCTAATATGACGTTTCTTCCACAAACAAGGAAAGCATGAGCAAAAGTTTGAGAAAAGGACATATTCATATTTCTTCAGCATCAACAGTACTTCAATATTTTACATTCTTCTCCATGTGAGAGTAAGTTCAACCATGAATTCTTGTAACCTTTCAAAGACAATACATCAATATATTAAACAGTGAAAGTGGCCTCTGCATCCATTTACTGAAGAATATTATGACATTATCAGGGGTATATGTGCTTAAATAAATGTTATCCTCTTTCCTGTGGTTTACAAGTGGCAGATCACAGGAGTAAAGTTAGGCTTTGTTAAAAATACACTCTTTCTGCATGAGCATGGCACCTGCACATCTTAAAGGCACCAAATGTGCTACCAACATGTGTATGGGCTCAAATAATGATATTTCATCACCACTTGGTTACATTTCTCCCCTGCACAAGGGTAAGCATCCTTGATTATTCATTTACTACAAAGGCACTCGATCTCTTTTACTGCTTCTTGTACTCAAACTAGCTAATTTGCAAAACAGTTGCGGGACATATGGTGGTCATAATCAGGACTAAATTAGGTGTATGATGAAGATTAGAAATACTGTCCTGCATTTACGCTTCTACTCCTGCAGAGGGCAGCAACAGGAAGATTCAGAACATTATAGTTTCAGAAGCCTGATTGTCAGATATAAGCAGTGGTGGAAAAAGTACAGAAAAATTGTGGATAAGTAATAGTATCAGTACTGTATCAACTTTTTACTTATATAACAGTGGAAATATGGACCTAAAGTGACTGAAAGTACACAAGCATCTACATTTAAACATAATGAAGTATAAACAAGTATATGTTAATTGAGAAGTGAATGTTTCAATAAACAAATTAGAAGTTTTATTTTTAATGAGGTGTAACGCAGTGGTGTGTGATGCAGTGACTAATTGGTGGTACTCCTTCTCTCAGAAAGACAAATTAACACAGTTAAGATAGGGCAGCTTCATTTTAGGGCACTAAAATATGAATGTCAATTTAGATATGAATTTGGTTGAATGTTTAAATAAAAATACATTAATACACAGAGAAACACAAGTGATTGGCAAGAGAAAAGGAGAAACTTTGAAGTACTTTGAAGCACATTTCTAAATGAAAATGCAAGGATAAAAAGTACCTTCTTCTTCATGAAAATCTGAGTGAGTACAAGTGTAAGTACTCAGTTTCAATAATACTCAAAAACAATTGCTTAAGTATTTACCACCTATGAGTGGGGTCAACATCCTGTACACCTTGTTCTTTTAAAACCTGCCCATCACCTGAAAGGATGTCTCTGGTAGTTGTGCCTGGTCATCGTTTTAACTTTTGAGGTACGTTTTCCACAAGCAGCACACCATCCTCTGAACACTTAGAATCTGATCCTGATCCTAGGGATGGACTAGGCTGGGTTAAAGGAGTGACATGGAACATGCAAAACTCCAATAAAAAAAAAAAAAAATCTAATTTTTCTTTACTGACTGAAATATTAAAATTTGTTTACAGTGTGATTGCTTTAACTAACATTTTTCTATAGCATATAGCATTTTATATAAAATAGCAGTGGCTATTTTAAAAGTAAATGCAACCCCATTTCCAAAAAAGTTGGGACACTGTGCAGAATGTAAATAAAAATAGAATGCAATGATGTGTAAATCATGTAAATCATATTTTTAAAGGAAAACTCTACAAAGACAATATATCAAATGTTGAAACTGAGAAATGTTATTGTTTTTTGAAAAATATATGCCCATTTTGAATTGAATGCCAAAAAAGTTGGGACTGTGAAATTGTATTGTTTTTTTTTCCAAATATATGTGCCCATTTTGAATTTGATGCCAACAACACATTCCAAAAAAGTTGGGATGGGGACATGTTTACCACTGTGTTTCATCACCTCTTCTTTTAACAACACTCTGTAAGCGTTTGGGAACTGAGGAGACCGACTGCTGTAGTTTCAAAAGTGATATATTTTCTCATTCTTGCAGCGACAAACTGTTTTCATAGTGTTTTTCAGAAATGTTGAGCCCATACAATGATTTCCGCTACAGAATCATGTCTGTTTTTAATGCAATGCCGCCTGAAGGCCCAAAGATCATAGCCAGCAAATATTAGTTTTTGGCCTTGTCCCTTACATACAGAGATTTCTCCAGATTCTCTGAATCTGTTAATGATATACACTGTAGAGGATGAAAAGCAGTTCTTTGCTATTTTATGTTGAAAAACGTTATTCTTGAATTGTTGCACTATTTGATCATGCAGTCTTTCACAGAGTGGTGAACCTCTCCTCATCTTTACCTCTGAAAGACTCAACCTCTCTGGGATGCTTTTTAAACCATGACCTGTTGCAGATCAACCACTGGGTTTTCTTTTTTTAGCATTACACAGCTTTACCAGTCCTTTGTTGCCTCCATCCCAACTTTTTTGGAATGTGTTATTGGTATCGAATTCAAAATGAGCAAATATTCAAAAAAAAAACATAAAATTTCTCAGTTTCAACATTTGATATGTTGTCTTTATACAACCCCATTTTCTAAAAAAGTTGGGACACCATGCAAAATTAAAAATAAAAACAAAATGCAATGATGTGCAAATCAATTAAACCCTATATTTCATTGAAAATAGTACAAAGACTATAGTACAATGATTCTCTAGTGGAAATCACTGTATGGGCTCAGGAACACTTCTGAAAACCACTGTCTGTGAAAACAGTTTGCCCCTGCATCCATAAATGCAAGTTAAAACTGTAAAACGCAAAAAAGAAACCAAACATAAACAGGATCCAGAAACACCACTACCTTCTCTGGGCCTGACCTCATTTAAAATGGACTGAGCAGAAGTGGAAGTGTCCTGTGGTCTGCCAAATCAACACTTGAAATTCATGTTCACTGTGTCCTCTGGGCTAAAGACCACTCAGCTTGTTATTAGTGCACAGTGCAAAAGCCAGTATTCATGACGGTATAAGGGTGCATTAGTGCACATGGCATGGGTGACCTGCACATCTGTGAAGGCACCATTAAAGCTGAATGTTTAATACATGTTTTGGCAACATATGCTGCCATCCAGACAATGTCTTTTTCAGGGAAGGCCTGGATTATTTCAGCAAGACAATGTCAAACCATATTCTGCATGTATTACAACAGCATTGCTCTGTAGAAAAAGAGTCTGGGTGCTAAACCGGCTTGTCTGCAGTCCAGACCTGCATTTGGTGCATTATAAAATGAAAAATACAACAAAGAAGAAAAAACACTTACAGAGTTTTGTTTAAAAAAGGGTTGATGAAACACAGTGGTAAACAACTTTTTTGGCATTAAATTTGTAGTATTCTCCTTTAAAAATGTGGTTTACATGATTTGCATATCATTGTATTCTCTTTTTATTTACATTCTGCACAGCGTTCCAACTTTTTTTGGAAATGGCGTTGTACAATATTACAATGTTATCAGCTCTGCTCTGTGTAGCATCACAAATAAAATCTCTAAAAATGATCTCATGTGATACATCTGCACTCACTTTGCACACGTGCTAAGCTCCAAAATTCAAAAAGCACTAAGACATATTTGCACGAACAGGCACAACAGATTAATTTAATTATCAACAGGTTACATTTGCAAGCCGAACATCAGAAGATAATGACTTTACTTAATTTAATTAGCACTACGTACTATATGTCTTGGGATATGCTGATGCACGCATGTTTTAATAATGAGTATCAAGAACACATCTGGTCAGTCACTCAGTGTCTCAGTAAAAGACAGCAACTACCATACCGGTTTTAGCTAATCATCTAACCTCAAATATTTAGAATATCAATGACAAAATATGTCCTCAAATATTTAGAATATCAAAAGTCAATTCTTTTTCCTCCTCAAAGCTCAGGGGATGCAAGCTGGGGCCATTCATTAACACCACAGATCTAAAGTAATCTGCAAAATTCGCTCTTTTAGTTTACACAGAGACTGCAAAAGGAAGATATAAAATCTTTCATTATGTAGTGTGTCCATCATGTATGTTTGTTTTTATTGTTTTCAGGGGACTTGCTTTGAGTTTTTCCACAGAATTCTGCAGATTTTTTTTCCATTTATCTCCTGAAAATTAATACCTTATACATAATGGCTGTGATGACTGGAAAGTAGCCTCTTACTCTCCTTGGAACCACCGGTGGTTCCAAAACACACTTCGTCATATTCTTCACAACTTTCATATTTCATAAGCTACATTCAAAAAGTGAGTGTCATATGAGAACTGTAACCGTCTTCTTTCCAGTCAAATAGATGGCTAATGTAATTTTAAACCCTTATAATAGATTTTTGTCTACTGAAAGTTGACCCATTTTTCCACAAATCTGGGCTATAAACTATAAACAGATGGTGTCTCTTCAGTGATCTGCTC